TCGCATAAACTGTTCATCCATATGTTTGCATCACGTAATTGGTCTGAGGAATTGCTTTATTTACAGAACAGTGCTTGGATTCATACGGTCAGAGCTTCTGTCTTACAAAGATCTTGATAATAACTGCAATGAATTTTAAATACTTATTATCCGTTTCATCATTAGAAAAAAATTTTAAAATATTGTAATAACGTTAATATTGCTAATCCCTTGTTGTATTATGATGTAATAGATGATTAGATTGTCACCTAGAAGCAGAAAAAGTGTGAGAACCCTCTTCTCAAAGAATTTAATGGAAGTACTGTACCTGCGCTGATTTTCTTTTCTCATGTAGCCTTCATGAAGGATGGACATGAGATGGGCTGCAGCCACACCCCGGACGTTTTCTATAACTGCTGACAGAATGGCTGTTCTCCTGATGTGACTAAAGCAGATTTCACCGTGTCCACTGACCGATGTCTGACAGCTTCTGTCTGCAGAGCTAACTGTAGCGCTGCAGGTGTGTGGGAGGGATTTGTTCTTGGTGTCAGTTCCCACCAAACTTTCAATCTTCATCACATAAAGTTAAGTCGTGACTAATGCTGAGAAAAATAGTTCAGTACTGTGCACATTTCTCAGCCATGAATATTTAGGATAACAACCGGGTCAAAAATATGACTTTTTTTGTAAGATAACACAGAAGCACAGAAAGCAGCTATACCAGCTAACTGAACTATCAATGACAAAGAGCAGTATTCATCTACGGATGAGCCACCTGCAATCTAGAGCATGTCTATTCAAGCTCAAGATACATACAACTCATAAAACAAACAAAAAAAAGCTACAGATTTGCTATTTAATCCAGGTTTATCTTCATAAAGACAACTGTTACGAGCTTGATGACAGGCTGGCATATTCACAGAGGAAGGAAACAGTCAAACCATGGAGAGATTACGTCGATAATCTGATTTGCTGTCTGCTGAACTTCACAGTATCCCAACAGCTCAGTCTGTTGGGTTAGGTTGCATTTATAGGGCAGCTGCACACCTAGTTCGTGCCTAACCTCTAATGAGCTGCAAGTCTGTTTGGTAGCAGATCACAGACTATCAGGAATGAAATGTTAAGAGGAATGTATGAAAGGACGGTTAGATCTTCAAAGGGGCATCTTTGCAGAGCACAGTGTGACGACGTAAAACCAAACCTCAGCAACCACTGATTAGAGAGACTGAGAGCTCCCAGCCACAGGTACAAGAATATAAACAGCATTAAAGCTGAGTATCTTTACTCCAAGAATTAACAGCGCCAATATTACATTGCCTAAAAGCAGATAAGTCTCTTCACTGGCTGATTTCAGATTAGAGCAGCACAGTAATCCTCCAGGCTTCACTGCAGGGTCACAATCTCCAGACAGCTCACCAGCAGCGGCCTGCTGTTGCTCTCTATGTGGTAAGACAGGTCTCACAGAGGTGATGCCTTTTCTGTCTTTCACAGAACCAGGCATGTGTAGTCTCCTGAATTTAACTAACTAGGAAAAACTGACATGCAAAGAAGTGTAATCTGTCATTTGTACTAGAAAGTTGATTTTTCAGGTAATTTTTTTTCTATCAAGGTAAAGCAGATGAAGCAGCATTTTTCTACTAAAGAGAAAAGCAGTAATCGGTTTCATTTATCAGCTTCCTGAAGCGATGGCCTGTCTTACATGCGTTTCATTCACTGCATATTTGTAACTGTGATAACATGTTAAGTGTATAAGGGAGTTGTGTATATGCTTAAAGTTTAGCCAAAAGTTAGCAAAAATAGTCCAAAGCTCAGAGCTGTAGCAAGGTCTGCAGGGTTTTAAAGGCTTTTCTAATATCTAATGTAAATTTCTGTAATCTTAAAAATAAGGCTCCAGTTAAAATTTGTATTATCTTGTTACAATTTTATTTGGTTCTGTAACTAAATTTCTCATTGGATTTATAAAGAAATTATTAAATTGTTTTGTGTGGAAAAAGTAGCTTAAAACATTTATTTTTCAATGTTTTGGAAATAGATCTTAGTTTGACTAATCCTTTTCCCGAAGAGCCGGAAGACAGCATCCTAGACACCCTGGCCCTACCCAGGGCTCTCAGGTGTCAGATCTGCAGGCCTGTGTCGCCATGTGGACTGGAAGAAGATTACGCTGAGGCAGCAGCACCAGGCGCACATCCCATGAATGCACAAACATGCAAAAGGATTAAGACCTTTTGTTAGAGAAAAAATTTGAAGAAATTTAATGTGACACATCAAAACAAAACAGTGCATAATTGCAAAGTGAAAATAAGTAAATGCTTGATTTTTAAAACATGGTGTGACTTGCACCCAAATGGAGCCGCATAACAGTTGTAATAGTCTGGTAATATGTTTCTATTTATTTATTTTTCTGCTAAGAAAAACAGTTTTATTAATCAAACAGCTGTTCAGTAATTAGGCTGGATAGAGAGAATCCCCAAAAACCAACTGTAAAGTTTCTCATTGTAGCTGAGCTCTATTGCAGGACTAGCTTTGTAATGAAGCTTAATCCCAGTATCAAGTTGTTTGCAGCCTGTACCAGGTTTTTGTGCAGGATTTCTAGTTAATCCAGTTTCCCTGTCTCTGTTAAAGAATAGCATCCCCTCAGCATGACGCTGCCACCCCCATGTTTTATGGTGGGGATAGTGTAATTAGATTGCTGTTCATTTTTTGTGTTTTTCTTATGTCTGAAGTGTATCACATGTGAAGCATATTTAAAAATGAGGTGAATTCTGAAGAGATTTTTTTGAACTCTATTAGAGAAAATAGGGTTAAATAAAAATACACCCCACCCATTTCAGATTTTTTGTTACAAACATAAAGCATTTAGTCTTTTCTTTTTACCTCATCCTGTGAGACTCTTTTAAACCTTATGATCAAAGTAATGCAGGTAAACCAAAGATGTTTTCATTACTTTCCCCTTTATTGTTATTATCTTACATTTTGGACATTTGTTTCTGTTTAACTATGTATTTTTTGGGTTCTCAAGTTCGCTTTGTTTTGTTCTATGCTATCTAGATTTAGATCATTTTTGTTCTTAGTTTTGCTATTCCTGGTTATCTCTTTTCTTCAACATTTTTGTTATTATGTATTCCTTGGTAGAGTTTTAGCTATAGTTATTCTTTCTCTTATCTTTAGGTTAGGTTTTCCATGGATTCAGCTATCTCCAGTCTCTTCTCTTATCCTCTAGTTTTACCCTTGTCCATTCCTTATTTTGTGGACATTCATTTTATTCCCCTTTAACCTTATTTAGGTTCTTTTCTAGTTACTTTTAGATCAAGCCTTGGTTATTCTTTGCTGCCCCCTAGTGTCCTTTCCTTTCCCCTTAGCTCCTTCTAGTTACTCTGTCTACAGCTGCTCCCTATCAGCTAATTAGTCCTCTTATTGTTTCTGTCGCCCATATATACACCTCCTGTTCAGTTACTCATTGCTGGATCCTCGTAATTCTTTAGGTCTATTAATAGTGTCTCCTAGTTTCTTGGTGCTTGCATTTTCTTGTCGATTGGTCCTGGACTATGGATTTTGTATTTTTACCTCTTCATTAACTCTGCATTTGGGTCCACTACAACATCCCCCACACCCGACATTTATTCCATGTCCTCATACAGCCTTATCTGTTTTCAAAGAGAAAAGTCCTAGTATGGGAGATCCTTAGTCACAGCCTGCCTGTCTGCCTCATGTAATAAATGCCTGTATCATATCTTCTGCCCTGACCCTGCATAATTACACTAAATCTCCCATTTGTCCAGCATGCACAAACAGCTTTTCCTGAAACTCCTCCTAATAGATCCCAGAATCATCAGCAGGCCTGACGATGATTCCGACTGTCAGACGGGCCCAGCCAGCCAGTCCGGGCCGTGCCTGGACAGCAATCACATTATCCCGACACAAGAACACAGACAGACAGAGAAATTCAGTAATCAATATTGTGCACTGACGTCTGTCAGAGCACTTAGAGTTCCTCCCAACAAGATGCTGTCTGCCATCACTGAAAGAAGATCTTCAGCTTTAGTAAATGTACTTATCATGAACAATGTGAGTGAAAAATGCTGAAGCCAATACGTTTCTGCCTTTTGAACGGTGGTTGGTTCGACAATGGAGCTTGCATAAAGAATAATAGGATAAGATTACAGAGCGGTACACAGTTCCTGATTTGTGCATGTAGGATAATTGGCTTGTCAAACACCACAAAGAAATCAGACAGTTTAATCAAAATATTTAAACCTTCTGCTTATCTAAGCAGGCAAGCAAGGTTTCTATCTGTTCTAATACGGCAGCTGACAACCTGAGTCAGGCCCCTTTCAGGTGGAGTGAGGGTCCAGCTTGTACCACCAACACCTCTCCAGCTATTCATCGCTTTATTTCCCCGTTCGCTACTCCACTCTGCCTCTGCATGCTTCACTTTGACAAATGCACAAGAAAAAGGCTGCTGCTGAAGGAGCACAGGAGGGGAGGTATGGATTGGAGGAAATTGGATTTGATAGATAAATGTCTGAGGATAGCATTACTGCTTTCTCTTCCCTGCTACACATGTGTGCATGCAGGCAGCTCACACACACTCACACACACATACATACATATAGGTAGGGCTGCACAGGCTGCAAGTGTTGAGACGACTGTTTTTCTGAGGGTACCACTCAGACAGCTCATCTCAATAGCACATTAATGTTTAATGCGAGCTATAAATATCTTGACATTATCATACTCTCAGGGCTTTTTGCGTGTTGTCTGTGGTTGCTGTTGAGGGGAAAGAAATCAAACACTTTCAAATCTGAAATTTATGGAGACTTAAACAGATGCATTTATTTGCTCTTAAGCGTTTAACGTATATAAGTCCAAACTAAACCTCTTGGTTTGCATAATCTACAAAGTAAGCATAGGGTTAAAGCTATATTTTTTTTGAGAGATTTTGTTCCTATTGTGGAATTCAGCAGCGTTACATATATTAGCATGCATCCGCTTTCATTTTTGTTCAGCTGGAGGGGTCTTACCTGCAGACTTAGGAGTGAATTTGTCCCGGTTGGCAGCACACACAGCGAGCAACCTGTAGCCTAGGTCCAAGTCGAAACCCTGCTGAGCGGCAACACGACTCACCACCTGCGGGAAGAGTCATAAATCAGGAAGTGTCTCTTTGAGTTTGAACCTTAACCTGAATGATGTGTTCATGTCTAATTTATTTACTAAGCTGGCTTTCCATTTTTAAGCTTTGAAAACCTTACAGGAAATGTAGGAATCCTAAATCACTTTACAAAAATATCAACTTTTTCAAATCTTAAATGATTAGTAGATTTTAAAATCTAATTTTGATCAACAAATTAGCCTTTTACAGCCCTAACAAAGACGTTTTGTCTAATATAGTTGGAATGAATCATCCTCAATAACTAGATGCTTCCAGTGAGTTGTACCACATTGATTTGGACATTTTTAGGAGTCATTTGAAAATCAACACAGTCTATTTAACCAAAGCAATGCAACCTCTGCTTAAAAACAGGCAAAGCTAGTTGCTGTCAATCGCTTCATTTCCCTCATGAGTGGGTCAGCCCCATGGTTTATATGAGGCAGTCGGCCAGCTACAAAGGCTAGCATAGATTTGACATGGATTTAACAGTTGTTCACCTCATAAGCCTTTTTTTCAGTCTAATCTCCCTCTGAGGACGTCACATGCAGGGCTATATTTCTGTCAATATGAAAACTGTGTTGGGGTAAGCGCTGCAGGGTTAGTGGGTCACGCAGAGTCGTGTTCATCTCTCCATCCTGGAGTCAAAAAATATATCAAATGACATATTTGTGGTTTATTCCGGCTCATTTCTGAAACTGGACATCCTATCTATTTTGCCTCTGGTCATCTTTTGATTGACAATAACCTGTAATGGGTCCAATGATGATGGTGTAGTAAACTAGCAGTGCACATCCTTTCATAAGCTTGCCTCTAGAAGGAACATTTCCTATTGCATCATTTATTAATATCATCCAGAAGCCTGTGTTTTCTTTTCAGCAGCTCATCACAAAAACTTTCTAAAGGATTTAGGTCTGGGGGTTTAGTTTGTCATAGTAGAAGAGGGTTGATTTTGTGTCTAATAAACCTAATCTTGAGCTGACCACATGTTTTCTGACTTAACCTTGCTGATTGAAATAATATATTTTTTTTCCCTTCTTTTTTTGGCTAAAAGCCTTTTTTTTTTTTTTTTATCAAAAACCTCCTAACTCAAATAACTCCTGATACCTTACACTCTGACAGGGTCCTCAGGCCCCTTGAAAGAAACACTGGCCCACAGCATCACAGATTCTCCACCATACTTACCATTCATTGTCTAAATATTGATCCATATCTATTTTTGAAAGAAGGAATCAGAGTCAAAATGAGGAATAATCCATGAAGACCTTGTATCACATTACACTTATTTAAATATCTAAAAATCAAACAATCAAACAGCAACTCTATAAAGAAAGACAAAAAGATTAAATGCAGAGAACTTCCTGCTGCTAGACGAGATTTCTTTACTATGAGATGTCTTTGCAAATGTACCCCATTTGAATGAAATGCTAATTTTGAAGTGTGGATGACAGTAAATTTTTTCATATCATACCTCCTGTCATGAAAAAAACAACAGGTTATGCTGTGCAACATGACAAAAAAAAAAAGATGTTTTATATGTTTGTCTTAACACAGAAATAAATTATGCAGCACATCTGCACCCAGTGACTTTACATACGTACTAGACAGAATGCACAAAGGCAGACAAAAAGCTACAGTCACAGATCAGAAAAAAGCTGAGAGCAATGACAGCAGCTGTGTTACTTTTATTACCTCTGGTGCCACCGTGGATGAGCTGCACATGAAAAAGATCACAAACAGAACAAGCACCCTCACATGTGGCACCCATTTGATTTGCAGGGTCGCGCATAAGAATGCTCCGACTTGTTGTAAGCAGTAATTCTTCTGATAAGCAGCAGTTTGTTCTAAGAGTCTAATGAAACAATTTAGCTGATGGAGGAACCCCATGCTGAGAGGGATCCCGGCAGCGGGCCCCATTGTGCAGCTCTTTATCACCCTATAAGAGGCTTTTATTTTGATTTAGACGTTAATGAGCATTTATCTGTTAGCTCTAGAGAACACATCCGCAGGAAACAACACCTTGAGAGTTCAATCTTTATAAAGTAAAATAAGTGTGTGCAATAAATGTGTGCACCTTTCTGAGAAATTTTTTATAGTTTTAAAGTTCAAAGTTCATTGAACAGGATGTCAGAAGAAATGAGACTGGAGTTCTGTGCAAATTCGTTGCTGCATGCTAGACTTTTCCATCAAAAAAGGAGTTAAGGTATTTAGAAAGTTTTGCAGCTCTGCAAAATAATACATAACACATACAGTCACAGTATTTAATTGTATGCCAGTTTTCACTGGTGTTCCCCATGGATGTGTATTTGGCACCTTTATCTTTCTGTGTCATAGCTCTTTGATTTAATTTCATATTATTCTTACGAAAATAAACTCTATAAATCCACAAAATGCAATGCTACATGCTTAAATCATAAAACGTATAGTGAGAGGTAAGTTCAGTATGCTCTCATCTTCTGCTGATCATTCAACAATAATTTATTCTTCCAATAGCTAAAGTCTGGTTTACGCTTGACGTGTCCACGAGATCCGCACAGTGAAGTTACATCATCAGAACACCCATGGAAAAATTTGTTATTACGTGGACATGTCCATGGGGATAAAAGATGATGGAGTAGGAGTGACAGCTCCTAATACTAGGGGTTTGCAAATATAAACATCTACAAATATTTTATGGATTGCCTCATTAATATAACTATGATCAACAGATTGTGAAAAAAAAAAGTCCTCTTCGAAAGAAAATACTGTCACTCTTGGGGGACACAAATGAGGTTTAAAAATGTTTGAAACAGTTTTTTTTTGTACTTTTACATGTTGTGTCTCAAGCTTCTGCTCTGTGCTGTAAACCAGGGTGGATTTTCACCAGGGTATTTCAGCGTAGCGGGCTGCTTTGGCTCTGGCCCCCAGAACTCTTTGCAGAGCAGTTCAGCACCAATGCCTCATATGCTGAAAGTTGTCTATATTACACTAAAATTATGCTTATAATCTGACCTTTAATGAGCATAAGAATTGTTTACTTTTTTATTGGCACATATATGTGAGAAAAAAACTGATCACCAATTAAACCTCAGCGCTTGCAGGCAGGTGACCACATGTGCTACCACCCCGCCAACAGACAGAGAGCCACCACTGCTATGCTGATAAAGACACCAAGTGAGAACACCCCTCTTAGAATATAAGGGGAAAGCATCATTGAGCATAAAAACAAACAGTATGCTCATCAAGTATAATTAAACAAAATTAAACCTCTAGATGTCATAGTCCCTTTAACTTTGTTACTTTAAATGTTGGAACATTTTGCATGTTTTATCTATATGGATGCATGTGTTTTGATTAAATTTTTGAGTAGGCTAGTTTTTTTTTATTACTGGTTTACTACTACTAACCTTCTGCACTTCAAGCCAGATTTATTACGAGACCTTTTTTGCTAAATAAATTCTGCTCTCCAAAAAACTCATTAGCTTTCTGTAAAACAATGCCTTCATTTAAAAGTTATTCTTCCTTCAAGCAAGTCTGCCCATAATGCAGCCCTTTCATATCTCTATGGTCTTCTGCCCACTGGCATTTCTTCATAGATTGTCCTTTACTTCTCCTAACAGTTACTTACCAAAGCAGCATTAGCTGAATAGCTTCCAGTCAAGTGACCACTCTTAGCCACTGTTTAACAATTGCTTTCCAAATAAAAAAATAAAAATAAAAAAAAATAAAAATTTCTGAGGTTGTATTTGAGTTTTTTTCTGTCCTGTTCGCTATTTGTCTTTTGTAATAGTATTTTTATTAAGAAAGACAGATTTCCATCACATTCATTAATTACAGCTTTACCGATTTAAGGTCATGCATTAGGATATTAGCAGAAAGTTCATGCTATTGTTTTTCCATACTGCCTTTGTGGTATTTTTTATTTTTTTTTTACAGACTATAACTAATTTTAGCGATGAACGATTGTTTACTATTTGTTTAATACATTTTCTGCTTTCAATAGCCTGTTCTTGCATGCCCTAATTTTGTACGATAACAGTCTTAAAGCATTTTAACATGTGCTTTTATTTATTAAAGCTACTGTTCCAAAAACCTCAATACTGATGTTTGCATCCCATATAGGCTTATATCTTGTCCAGTTAGTTTTTTAAATGAAGCATTTTTAAAACAATTTGCAGAAAATAACTATACAGAGCCAAAACAAAAGATGTGGACCTACTGTCAGAACTTTTTTTTCACCCAATCATGCACATCTAATTATTGTTTTGCTTCATCTTCTAAAAAGTAACTGCAAAAAAACAAAACAAAAAAATCAACCAAAACCATAATTGTAGTTTTCATACCGTCAGACATCCCATGAGACTTTGCTCGAAAGGTCGCTGGAAGGCCCGTGGATCTCCACACCAGTCAAGCAGCTCTGTGGCAGCCGAGTGGAAGTTGGCCGGGTTCTGTAAGTGCTGCGCAAACACATATTGCCCATTAAAAGCAGACAGAACAAGTGTTATTTCTTTTCTCACGTTTAGTACAAAATGACACAAAAAAAAACCTAATGGTTCCACTGCCTCCAACCTGTCTTGATTTAATGTCTTGTGTTTCTGCACAGCCCTGTAAGGACCTTGACTCTCTCCAATCTACGCCCACTTGGAGCTCTGTTGCATTGTGGGAAGAAGATCACACCCATATCAACAATGATGCCAGTGTTTCTTGTTAATCTTTCTTGGCAACACCCATCCCTCGCCTCCATGACCGACACAGCAACTGAACCATTCCCTCCAATCTTCTCTCTCCCTCTCTCTTTGCCTTATTCATTGCCGGTTTTTAGAGTGGAACACACCAGAGGTCCACTGGCTGACTTGGCTGTGCACAAAGAAAACAACCTTGGTCCTGGCAGCTATGTGTGCAGGCTCAATGTGAGATGTTGGTGTGTTGTCTAATCTCTTTCACTCTCTGTCTGCCTCTCTCGCATGTTCACTGAGGCCTGAAACAGTTGAGCCTTTTCTTTCCAGTGTTTGAGGGCTTCTAAAGCTGGCAGGACACAATAAGCGGTTTTTAAAACTGAGCTTCCTTTCTTCACTCCTCAGAAGGTTAATAGCTCTGAAACAGCGCAGAGCTGCGGCTTGCTCAGTTGGCGAGACAGCAGCCCACTTAAAAGCTTTTATTATTCCTATCTGGAGCTAGAGCATCTAGTGTTGTGTTTTTACTGCAGAGAAGGTACATTTTTTTTTAGAAGGCAGCAGAGGTAAGTGTTTTCTGAAAGGGCAGCTAAAAATGAGCTTCATTACTAACCTGATGTGGGGCCAAGCAGATGCCTATAGTAATAGTCTCTTTGGTGACATCATGGACTCCGAGAGAGAGACCTTGATTAGAAGAGAAACTACGAAACAGTCTGATTTGGTCTTCTCTTCTAGGGGAGTGTTGGCCTGGTGGCTAGAGCAGTGGGCCTGTGCTCTGAGAAGGCTGCAAGTGCCTGGTTTGATCCCCACAGCCAGCACTCTGGGTCCCTGAGCAAGACCCTTAAAGGAATAGTACACCCAAAACATGATTAGCCTTCATTTTCTACTCACCCCCATGCTGAACAACACTCTGGACTGGAGTACTTTTTTGATATCTCAAATGCATCTGGAGATCTGGGAGGCTTCTTGCTGTCTGCTGACATTCAAATAATGGAGCTCCATGGTGCCCGAGGCAGAAAGGTCCATAAAAGTCCACAAAAAACGTTTCAATATTCCTCCATACTGCTAAGTGTCCTGAGTGGGTAGCATCCAGAATTTACTCGAAACGAAGTCATTTAGAATGTTTTTAGAGCATAAACAGTAGTGTATAGGATTTCCTGAAAGCGCGCGCCTGCGAGTTCACGACGCTACGGAAACCGCGGCAGACCAAACCAGATGAAAGTGCGCATTCAGCTCGGCAAAGAACTCATGCTCTTCCTCAACACTGAAGTCCTCAGACATTTTTCTTTCGTTGTTTCTTTCTTTGCACAGGGAAACAGCACATTTCTTCTTCTACGCTTGCATTATCGGCAGAGCAGACGCTGAATGCGCACTTTCATCTGGTTTGGTCTGCCGGCTTCCGTAGCATCGTGAACGCGCAAACGCGCGCTTTTAGGAAATCCTATACACTACTGTTTATGTTTTAAAAACATTCTAAATGACTTTGTTTCGAGTAAATTATGGACGCTACCCACTCAGGACACTTGGAATACATTGGACGAGCAGTATGGAGGAATATTGACACGTTTTTTGTGGACTTTTATGGACCTTTCTGTCTCGGGCACCATAGACCTCCATTATTTGAATGTCAGCAGACAGCAAGAAGCCTCCCAGATCTCCAGATGCATTTGAGATATCAAAAAAGTACTCCAGAGTGTTGTTCAGCATGGGGGTGAGTAGAAAATGAAGGCTAATCATGTTTTGGGTGTACTATTCCTTTAAGTCCACACTGCTCCCCAGGCGCCAATGGCAGCCCAAAGGGATGGGTTATATGGAGGGGAAAAATTCTCCAATGTGAGATCAATAAAGTTCAATTCAATGGTATTTGACTGAGAGCAAGACAAGAAGGGGGAGTGAGAGAAAATGAGGTGATCTTGTTGGATGAAATTATAGGAAGAAAGCCTCTTTTAGATGAGTGATATGATCTGGCATTAGTGCTGCTTGATAGAAGGCATATCAGCCCCCAGCATGATGAAAATCAGACCTCGCACAGCAGGGTCTGTCTGTCTCCATCTGAGCTCAGCTCCCGCTGCAGCGGTCACCGACGACTTTGCCTGAAAACCTCTGCTCTGGTGTGAGGAAAGGAAGGATGATCAGAGGAAATAGCTCTGCTGATCTGGTGACGGGGCACTAGAGTTTTACAGTCATAGTTATTGTTGTGCGAAAGGTTGGATGTGGATAAAAACGAGTATTGAGACAGCAAACAAACAGCCAAACCCTGTCTTAAGGCCAGCGCTACAACTGGCTCTTCACTTCCTATCTGTGTAGGTAGAAAACAGCACACCGCTTAGCTATCTGCCAGCACCATTCTGGCAGCTAAGAGCTCAGAGACTAACCATTTCAGTTTGGCTTTACAGTTATTTTACAGCAGGAGCTGGTGTTAAATAACTTAACAAGTGGCACCAAGAATGATAGGAGACCCACTGTGGTAAAATCTATCTGAAAATAACTAAGAGTTAAAAAAAAGAGGTCTACAAGCCATTTGAAAATGTCCTCCAAGTCAAAAACAGGATTTGTTGCAGCAGAACCACTACAAGAGGCTGCAAAAGACTTAAGAGTGGGGCAGAATTTCTCCTTCTAACAGGATAACAACCCTAAAAATGTATTCAGTCATAGTCATAGTGAAAGGGTTTAGATAAAGAATATTAAGTTGTTAGAAACCCCAGTCGGACTTTATTCTAATTGATTTATGCACGATCCTTGAGCACTTTAACAAACACTTTTTTTAAAAGAAAAATGTATAGAGTAACTTTGTTTGTTAGCCTTTTACTGGGGGTGACAAATAAACTTCAATGTGCAGCTTTTTCAATGAAAAAAGTGTATAATTTATTCAAAATTGTGTTAACAGATTCTTGCCGGTCAATTTGACTGAGACTGAGTTATTGCTCCCCTCTCGGTTTTATACTTCCGCTCTAATGTGACAAAATGTGAAGAGTTTAAGCAGTGTAAACACTTTTGGACCAGCAGAGGCTATAAAAATCTGTACTGCAGCATTAAAAGGAATCTGTAAAAACACAGGAGAAAGTTGTCACCTCATAAGCTTTATCGTTTGCCAATTTATTCTAAGACATGGCGTCATTTGGATGCTGGTAGATATAAAGACTCACACCCACGTATCATAAACAAATATGCCAACAGCCAGCCAGCAAGTCAAGCAGTCTATGAGCTCTACAGACCATTAATCACACGCAGAGGCGGTAGCCCTGGGATATGTTAGTCTGTCTGTGAGGAGTCCTATGAAAGCTGACAGTCAGGGAAGCATTTAGCAAAACTGCAGCAAGGGTTGGAATACGTCAGGAGTTAGCAGCATGATGTCAGAGAACACAGCACGAGGAGAGAGAGAAACGTTGAGTCTGTTATGCAGCTTTGAAGTCTGCTCTTATGTTCATAGGCAGATTTGCCTCCCTCTGTGACCCTTTGCAACATGATCTGTGCGACTGAAGCTAGGGCCCCAGACACACTGATGCCTAAATAAGGTGCTGAGAGGAGAAAGTAAGGCTGGATTTTTTTTTTCTTCTTTTCTCAGACCACTGGGAATCCATGTCTGAAGAGAAGTAAAGGAAACTAAAGAAAGGGTTTTATTTAATACCCACCTGTTTGATGCACTGCAGCCTGTCATTGGTCTGCTGGATATGCCGGTCCATTGATGGTAATGTGTTCATCTTGATGTCTCTACCAGGACTCCATTAAAAGCTGGTTTGTTTGTTTTTTTCTTATTCTGCAAAAAAGAATAGATAATGTACATATGTTAGAACTAACAGGACCTTTGACTAAGAGGGCTTAAGCCTGCAGGTGAAAACAGTAATTCAGGTGCTTGAACTGGAAAAAAAGAGTTCCCATTTACAACTTGAACGATGAACAAATGCCGCCTTTTAGACCAATCAGACAAGGTATAATACATTTTCAATCATCTCTTTTCTTTCCCCATATATATTGGACACCATTTAAATAAAATTGCATAGGTTTCCATATTTTGTTTTTTTTTTTTTTTCTGAAAGCATAGGAACCACAGGTTACCCTGATATTCCATTTAGATCCTTCAGTGATAAACAACAATCCCATATTCTGCGACCTCGACCGTCTCACAGCGGTGGATTGAGTTGGGATTAATAGCTATCGTGCTGGTTCATCAACGGCCACTAGCCATCCCTTTCTGTTTATCTCCATCGGTGTTGGTCCTTCCCACATTCCTTCACACAAAAGACCAACTGAGGAACCACAGGTGGGGGGGCGGGGCTCCAGAAAGCTGCTAGGCACTGATAAAGGGTCCCCCAAGATTCCCCACCGAGTGAAACCAACACAACAGAGGCATGGCGCTCAGTCAGGGAGTTTTCATTTCAGTCTGGAGTGCTTATCTTTGATTGACTGCTGCATAAATGCACAGCGTTTAACTCTCTCACACACATTTAAGAGCTTGTGAACTCAAAAGCTTGAATTCTTTACTTTAATAACAGCAGAAAGGTGGAAAACTTCAAAGAAACACTTTGAGAATGAGACTGTCTTACTAATCCTCTCAGATTTGAGTAATACCTGAGTGGAATTACCTAGAGTGCACTTAAGCACGCTGCTTGCATGAATAAAGAGGAGTTCTTGAGTAAAAATGTTGTCAGAAGACATATACTTATCAGCTTACACGGAATGGTGTTTATGAAAACAGCTAAAATTGCCTTCTCCTGGGTCTGACAGCACATAACACAACCATAACATTGGATGGCCTATTTTGATTGAGCTGCCATACCAGCCAGTGTCCAGCAGATGTCTCCCTCTCCTGCTATTAACCAGCTTTTAACACACTCCACCTGCAGCAAGATGTCCAGAAAGGGCTCCCCTAAAGCCTTTGACAAGTGCTACAAATCCTTTCTAGAACCCAGGCGGTTCTGCAAAGCACGCCCCAGCCCAGCGCTGGCCATCTGACCATGTAGCAATTGATTAACTGGTTCTCCTACAGCTCCACACCCTCCTGTCCCAAAACTAAAAAAACTCAGATGGCATGTTCCTGTTAAGAACAAGTTCTTCTGTTTTTTGTTTTGTTTTTTTTTTCTTGCACATTTATCTCACCTCTGATGTAAACATGTAGCACCTTTGTTAGTCAATGAAAACACAATCTTTGGTTTTGAAAGGAAGAGTATTGAGGTTATAATGGCCGGCCAGGCGTTGTAAATGAGGTGAGAAGTAAATCAACCAGAAGTGTCCTTAGTGATAAGACGCTGCAGCTCCACACCCCTGTTCAAAAATGCCTTGCGCAACCAATTGCTCCTGATTGCAAACAACTTTTGTTAAATTTAATTTTCAGCAGGTTCACTACAGCCTATGAGCAGCATTTGCTAAGATGTAATAATTGATTTTTTCTCACACTGTTGTTTGAAAATCACAACAAAGCTATTCCTTACATATCGAATGATAGGGAAGAAAAAAAACATTGATAAGCTTTCTGTCTTTTATTTTTGGCTTTTTCTGTGACACTAAAATGTTCCAGAGTGGATTAAAAAAAATACAGTTTTGATATTAATATGTTTATCAAAGATCAAATGTGTCCAGGCTTACATGACTATATGTGGAGAAGTAAATTCCCCAAAAAGCTGCATGAGTGTTAAAATCAAACTGTAGGGTTTTTGTTTGACAATGTTTACAAGATTGTTTTTAATAAAGCCTAACTGGAGAGTTTTCATGATACAATGGACTTTAAGGTAATTTAAAAGCATCTCAGTAAAATCCGTTTAAAGCATTGCATTTAACCGAGCTGAGAGAGTTCTGCAGATTTAAGATGTTTTGGGTTTTACTGATTTTCTGGATGAGTTGCTGATGCACTCTTGGAGTAATTTTAGTAGGCCAAGCATCACTGGGAATGCTCCTCACTGTTCCCTGTTTTCTCTGTCCACATACTTTAAATACTGAATCTCTTTGTAAATCTTATAAACCCTTTAAAAACTAATAGAAATCATTGACTCTGTTTCCTATATGGTTTTAATTCCTTCAGATTAGGACAGGATGTGTTCCTATTTGAAATTTGTCAGCTCAGCCTAACCAATGTACTAGAAAGGTTCAATAAAACTATTGAACTATTATTGTGTGTATGTGTGCATGTAGGATAAAGTTGGTCTGTTGGTTTATGTCCTCTTAAGGTAATAATTGTTTTTATCTTTGGAATTTAAACATTTTCACATCAAAAAACGGAAGAAATCTGTTAGGGGTCAAATGTTAAAATCAATATTACAAAATGAAACATTTATTACAGCAAGGTACATAGATGCAAAGCAAAAGATGACACATTTAGTCATGAAGCGCACTTTACAACCTTCCCTTCAAACAACAGAGGGAGGAAGCAGCTGTGAATCAGAGGGGAGTAACAAGCCACATGTAACACCAACATCCGAGGAGGCGTCTGTCTCCTCCTCTTGCTGTCTTTCTTTTCCTCCCTCCCTACATCTCTTTTTCTAAGCAAAACAAGCTGGGGAAGCAGTGTGGGGACTTGGCAGGCTGAAACAAAAGCACAGTGATATCGAAGGCGCTGGAGTATGGAAGCAAGGGGGGAGCGAGCAGGAACGGGCTCCACGAGGAAAGGAGACGAAGGAAAACACAAAGAGAGTTGGAATTAGCTCCTCGTTGCACATGCACACACACACACTTAATACATGATCACACACAGCGTGAGCGAGTTCTCATTTCAGACAAATGACTGGCACATTTGTCAGGCGCAATGTGCTGCATGAAAGTGATCAGTCACTGAGGGTTATATGGACATGTTGATGCTTGAGGTCCTGACAGACATCAGTGAGGGCAGAGTCAGGTGGTTACTGTAGCATACATGTTGTCAAAGCAATAAAAATGAGAACGACGGAAAGGTTACTTCATGAAATTCTGTTAAAGTGCAACAGAGATGTGTAACACAGACTACTCTCCCTCCATCAGACGCTCAGTCAGTAATTTGTTTTAAAATAACCTTGAAAAGATGAATAATATTATAAAATATTACATTTACAGGTAAACCCAAAAACTTGTACTGATATTAATCTTTTAAACCAGAAATGCTTTTATTCTTAGTTTTATTAAATCAAATCTCCTTCCTGCATTCTATTCTATTCCCAGATAGTGATGCAGAGAAGGACACATCTGTTGAACTGTGATTTTTTATTTTTTTGCTTACTAAATTGCATTTTTTAACTTATGCAGACATTAAAAGAACGGATATTGCTGTTTTTCTTGTTTTTAAAGATAAACCTGGATCATCTAAAACATTATTGGCAGGACATAGAAACACTCTGTGGTTTACACGGACCTTTGAATACTCTGATTGCTGGATTTATAATGAATAGCAAACTAATAAATGTCCCCCCACCTACATTTGGGCCCATCCTGGGCCTGTTTGAAGCAAACAAGTTGAAGGTTTTCTAAAATGTTCTTCCAAATTGTTTCCTTCAAATAACCATATCCTTTGTCTGTTTGATTTATGGATCATTCAAAGTCTTTATCAATAAAAATGAGTTGTTCAATATGATATAAGCAATTAATAACTTCATGTCATGGGATTAGTTTAAGGTTAAAATACCCTGACTGATAGAGAACGATCCCTGTGTTAAATAACCAGACTGAATCTGTGTTTGAAGGGTAACATAACGTGATTATATTTTTCAACCTTTTGATGCCGTTTTAGAGGTTTATGGTTGAGTTTAAAAAAACACTGATAGGGAAATAGATTCAATGCATGAAGAGACTCAGGACACCGAGTTGAAATGAATATTGTTTTTGCTCATGCCCTCTGCTGAAACTTTGGTTATGGTAACTAAAGTGTTAAGGAGATTGCTGCAATTTGTGTTGCCAGGTTTGGCTTGATATCAACTTTATTAAGGAAAGAAGAAAACTATCTCTCCTGCTCTCAGGTCACAAAAAAAAATCCTCTCTCCTCCAGAGCAGAGACCCCCCCAAGCAAACCTCCCCCCCGACCATTTCTACCTCTCTGTGTGCTTTATGCTCTTCCCCTCTGCAGCTCTCAGACATCATTAGAGCCACCCAGCATGCGACTTCCCTAACACAACCTTCCATTTTCTGTTCGATCATTTTCCTCTCCTCATCCCTCATATCTCAACACTCCTGCCACTCTCACAACCCCCTCCTCCTTCTCCTCCTCCTTCTTCTTCTTCCCAGGGCCCCAAGTGGGAGCTGCCATAACAGGAGGTGGAATGGATTCATTTGCTCTAATGTGGTTTGGGCTGCAGCGTGGCACGGCGCAGAGCGACACTTTATCCCAGCGCACAGGGCTTCTCTCCCTCACCGTCTGCAGTTCATGTGTTTTCAAACAGGCCAATCAACACCACTCAGCTGCACTGGCCTCTATCTCTCATTCCCTCCCACATACGCCGCTATAAGTATGTCTGCAAAAAGCCACCAGCCATCTCTCTCACACACACACTATTATCTCTAATGGCAAACTCTCCTAGCCAGGCAGTCCCCTTTGCTGCCTTTATTTCCCCGCCATGTCTGCTCCGTCCACAGAGGCTGGTTCTTCATTGTATCCAAACCTTCTCCAACCATCATATCTCTGCCTGTTTGCCTTGTTCCTGCTTATGTTCTTGGCTCTGTTAATCCTCTCTACCACTTAATCTCTCTTGCTCTTCTTTTCCCTCTCAGCAAAGTCAACTATTAGTCATATTGCCCCCACTGGGCTTTATAAAACCCGGCTTTCTGTACACCCCTCACAACCACTCGGCTCTATAAAAATGT